CAAATATTTTGCACTTACTGTGTCACCTGCCTGTAAGGCTTTGCCCCTATACCTGCACAAGGCTGGTTCCTTTTCATTACTCAGATCTCAGCTCACTTGTCACCTCCTCAGAGAAGCCTTCCCTGATCACTGCATCTAATGTAGTCCCACCCCACAGTCTATCACAGTACCCTCCTTTGTTGTCTTAGAGCACTTAAAACCATCTAAAATAATCATTTTATTTTTAAAATATATTTTTTTTATTGATTTCAGAGAGGAGGGGAGAGGGAGAGATAGAAACATCAATAATGGGAGAGAATCACTGATCAGCTGCCTCCTGCCACTCACCACACTAGGATCAAGCCCACAACCCAGGCATGTGCCCTGACCGTGAATCCAGCCATGACCTCCTGGTTCTTAGGTCGATGCTCAACCACTAAGCCACACCAGTCCGGGCAACAATCTTATTTTCTTTCTTCCCTCATCAGAAGTTAAACTCCAAGACAATAGGGACCCAATCTGTTTATTGCTTGTCCCAGTGCCTGGCACTTAGTAGCTATTTAATAAAAATCATGGCATTAGTAAATCAAAGAATAAATGATAGAAAGAGAGAGAGAGAGAGAGAGAGAGAGAGAGAGAGAGGAGGGAAGGGACGGAGAAAGGAAGGGATATTTTGTAGAACATGGTGAGCCCTGGCTAGTGTGGGTCACTAGTTGGAGGATCATCCCATACACTAAAATGTTGCCAGTTCGATTCCTGGTCAGGGCACATAACAGGTTGTGGGTTCAATCACAGGTCAGTTCTCTCCCTCCCTCCCTCTTTCCCTCTCCTTTTCTCTTTCTCTCTCTCTCTCGAATCAATAAAAGCATGTACTTTGACGAGGATTTTTTTAAATTATAGGACATGGTAAGATATAGATGGATAGATAAATAGGTGGCTAGGTAGAATGTCACTGACACTTGTAAAGAGAAATCAGAGAAAGTACACAAAGGAGTAAAATACAACTCCCTAAAATATGTATATAGCGGAACTGGATTTTCTTGGGGAACTCTTGATGTAAAAGCCTTAGACAAAACTTTTTTTTTTAAGTTTTCAAGTGGCTCAAGTATTAAATATTGTGGCTAGTTACCATAGCTGAAGCCATCATTTCTCAGTGAGATAATGGATTGCAACACCATGACCACCAACATGACAAACTCTTGATACTGACAAGGGAACTCAGTCTATTGCAGGGGTCATTAACACAACAATCACTCTCATTCTATTCCTGTAATATTAATGTCACCACTGGCAACAAATGTTATATGCTGTTGACTTAAATACTCTATGTTAACGTCATTGTTACAATGCAATATCAAGTTGCTTGACAGTTAAGGAAGAGAGATCAGAATTGAGATTTGTCAATATAACAAACATAGAAGCAATTAGTACAGTTTGTTCCAGGGTTCATGGACCCTGTTGGTAAAATACCAAAGTTTGGGGGGGGATGGACCTCCGTTTTTTTAAGTCCAGAAACAGTTGATTTATGCATTAAAATTTACCTCTGTTATTCAAGAGACTTTTAAGAGACTCCACATCACAAAAAGCCACCCCATAATTTTTCTGTTCTATAAGATAAATTCAGAGATGTTTAGATCACGTGTCATGTTAAGATTTTTTTTAACGGGGACATGTCTGAAAAGTATATAATGCAAAATGTAACTTTTTCCTAATGATAACTGTACCTTATGCCCATGGCTCAAAATGAAATAAACATCTGGCAATTAATTCTGTTTGTCTGATCAACTCTGAATGTCTGACCCAGCCTTGTTGTCAGATAAAACTAATTAGAAGTCAGGTTAGTGCACACACACCAGAACTAAATTAATGTTCCATGGATTAGAAGAGTTGATATTAAGATGGCAATACTCCCCAAATTGAGCACTTTTTTGTGTGTGCAGAACTCTCTGCTTAAGTATGGAGGATTGTTCAAAAATTAGAGAAGTAGCTAGTGCTGCCCTACAGCTTTCTTAGCCGTGTGGGAACTGTGGGAATAGGAGGGGCAGGGTGTCAGGACACGAGTGGGATGGTTGAACCTCATAGGAATGGCAGAAAACAGAGAGGCTGTGCAGGTGAGCTTCTACAGCAAGGGCTGGAGCTGTTAGCTCAGGCAGAGCTATGAAAGGTAAGCAAAGCCCTTCCCACCTAAGCCCAATCCAGAGACACCTGCAGGAGAGAAAGGGACAATCAAGATGTCACATTTTTTTTAAAGATTGTTTTATTGATTTTTAGAGAGAGAGGGGAAGGGAGAAGGAGAGAGAGAGAGAGAGAGAGAGAGAGAGAGAGAGAAATGGAGGAGAGAGAGAGAGAGAAGAAACACCCATGTGAGAGTGAAATATCAATCAGCTGCGTCCTGCATGCCCCCTACCAGGGACTGAGCCCAGAACCCAGGCATGTGCCCTGACCGGGAAAATGGCAACCTTTTGGTGCACAGGATGATGCCCAACCAACTGAGCCACACTGGCCAGGGCTAGGTTTTACAATTATTAATTTTAATTTTTTAGGTCTCATTTTTATATGCCCCTGAAAACTCTAACATACTAATTATTTTCAAGAGTAATAAATTTTTTCTGAAATTGTCATAAAATTAACAATTAATGGGTTTAACAGATGGTACAGTTTATAGATATTTATTTAGGTTTTGACATTTAAAAAATAATAACTTATTTTTATCAGCCCTGTATATTCTGCCTATACTGCCTAGTGGACGAACAGTTCAGAGGCCACATGTGCAGGAAGAGGTCTGCTTCAGGCTGCCTGCCAGGGCAGGGCTTGCTCTAGTGCAGTGATGGCGAACCTTTTGAGCTCAGCGTGTCAGCATTTTGAAAAACCCTAACTCAGCCGTGGGCAAACTACGGCCCGCAGGCCGGATCCGGCCTGTTTG